TTTTCCACATGGCAAAGAAGGATGAAGGATTTGCTAATCCAACAAGGCCTTCACAAGGCACTAGAAGAAAAAAGCCAAAGTCCATGAAAAGTGAGGATTGGACTGACATAGACAAAAGGGTGGCTAGTGCAATCAGATTACACCTATCAGATGATGTTCTCAATAATGTCATCCATGAATCAAGCACGAAAAAATTTGGACAAGGCTAGAAAGTCTATACATGTTCAAAAGGTTGACAAATAAATTGTACTTAAAGAAACAACTCTATGCACTCTAGATATAGGAAGGTACAAATTTTCTGTCTCATTTAAATGTATTTAATGGACCAATCACGCAACTTGCAAATGTTGGAGTAAATATTGAGAAGAAGAAAAAGCAATCTTACTCCTGAATTCGTTGCCATCCTCCTATGATAATTTAGCAATGACAGTCCACAACGGTAAAACCACCATTGAGCTGGGAGAAGTCACGTCAGCTATCTTGCTCAATGAGAAGATGAAAAAGAAGCCAAAAAGCTTAGGACAAGCTTTCGTCACCGAGGATAGAAGGAGAAATCTAGAAAGAAATCCAGGCAAATGGCGTGATAAATCCAAAGAAAGGTCCAAATCATGAGGCAAAGGCTATTGGAATTATGGTCAACAAGATCACCTTAAAAAGAACTGTCCACACCCACCAAAGCAAAGAGGTGGACAAAGGAAAAAAGGTGATGACAAGAATACAACCGCAGTAGTACAGAATAATGATTTTGTGTCTCTCGTCATGAACGAAGAAGAGGAGTGCATGCAGGTGTCTACATCTGATTCAGAATGGGTTGTTGACATAATAGCATCCTATCATCTCACTTTAGTCAAAGAATTCTTCTACACGTACAAAGCAGGAGATTTTGGTACAATGAGGATGGGAAACACCAATTTCTCTAAGATCGTGTGAATTGGTGATATTCGTGTCAAGACAAATGTCAGATGCACACTTGTTCTAAGGAATGTATGACATGTTCCTGATATGCGAATGAATTTGACATTAGAAATTGTCCTTGATCGTGAAGGTTTGCATATCGCTTCGCAAATGGGACATGGACACTCATTAAGGGATCGTTGGTGTTAGCAAAAGGAAAGGCGTCCAACACACTGTATAAGACAAATGTTGAAATTTGTCATGACAGGGTGAACGTAGCTGAAGGAGAGCAATCTCCAAACTTGTGGCATCGGAGATTGGCTCACATGAGTGAAAAATGATAGCAGATCTTGGCAAAAAGATCACTTATCTCCTTAGCAAAAGGTACACCACTTAAATCCTGTGATTATTGTTTATTGGGCAAGCAACATAGGGTATCTTTCTAGAAGACTCTTGATAGAAAATCAAATATACTGGATATGGTATATTCTGATGTTTATGGTCCTATAGAGGATGAATCAATGGGTAGAAACAAATATTTCATTACTTTTATTGATGATACTTCAAGAAAGGTGTGGATTTATCTCTTGAAAACCAAAGACCAAGCATTCTAGGCATTTCAATCATTCCATTCAATGGTGGAAAGGGAGACAAGCTGAAAGTTGAAGTGTCTCCGATCAGACAATGGTGGAGATTATACCTCAAGAGAGTTTGAAGGATATTGCTCTAACCATGGAATTAGACATGAAAAAACTATTCCTGGAACACCATAGCACAATGGTATGGCTAAGAGAATGAACTGCACTATTGTTGAAAGGGTGAGAAGTATGCTTAGAATGGCAAAACTACCTAAGTCATTCTAGAGTGAAGCAGCACGTACAACCTATTATATTTTCAATGGAAGTCCATCATTTCCACTGGGATTTAATATTCCTAAAAAAGTATGGAGAGGCAAAGAAGTGTCGTACACTCATTTGAAAGTGTTCGGCTGCAATGTTTTTGTTCACGTGCCAAAGGAACAGAGATCAAAGTTTGACGATAAAGCTATTCATTGCATCTTTGTTGGATATGGAGATGAAAAGTTCGGCTATAGGCTATAAGACCCAGAGAAAAAGAAGATTATCAGGGGCAGAGATGTGGTCTTTCGTGAAGATGAGTTTTGAGTTGATATCCAAACAGAAAAGGCCAAAGAAGAAAATGGTACAATTTCACATGAGATCATCATTCCATTTCCATCAGATCATGCCATAGATGGAGAAGATGTCATACTAGAAGAAGCTGATGATGAGGTTGAGGAGCAGGAGGAGCAACAACAAGAGGAGCCACAATAGGGGGAGCAACCCATCCCACCAGAAATAAAACAGCCTTTCAAGCGATCTGAATGAGAAGAGAAACCATCATTCAGGTATCCATCTTTTAAGTATGTCCTTGTTATTGATGAAGGCGAGCCAGAGACCTTCCAAGAAGTATTGACTCATCCAGAAAAAGACAAGTGGATAGAAGCCATGAAAGAAGAGATGAGCTCTGTGTGAAAAAATGCAAATGGGTCTTTAAAGTGAAAAAAGATAGAAATGGCAAACTGATTAGACACAAAGCTCAACTAGTGGTCAAAGGGTTCGAACAGAAGAAAGAAATTGACTTTGATAAAATATTTTCACCGGTTGTGAAAATGACTTCCATCCGAACAATTTTAGGCTTAGCAGCTAGCCAGGATCTCAAATTGGAGTAGTTGGATGTTAAAACTGCATTTTTTTATGGAGATTTGGAATAAGAAATCTACATAGAACAGCCAGAAGGATCGGAGTCAAAGGGAAAGAACACATGGTGTGCAAATTAAATAAGAGCCTGTATGGATTAAAGCAAGCACCAAGGCAGTGGTACAAGAAATTTGACTCATTCATGAAGAGTTAAGCATACAAGAGGACTCTTTCAGATCCATGTGTATACTTCAAAAGGTTTTCTGACAACAATTTTATTATTTTATTGTTGTATGTGAATGACATGTTGATTGTAGGACATGACAAAGAGCAGATAACCAAATTGAAGAAAGACCTATCCAAGACTTTTAATATGAAAGACTTAGATCCTGCACAACAAATCTTAGGGATGAAGATTGTTCAGGACAAGAAGGAGAGAAAGTTATGGTTGTCTCAAGAGAATTATATTGAGCGTGTTCTAGAGCGTTTCAATATGAAAGATGCTAAACTAGTTAGCACCCCTCTTGCTGGTCACTTGAAGTTAAGCAAGAAGATGTGTCCTACAATAATAGAAGAAAAAGAGAAAATGGCAAAAGTTCCATATTCCTCTGCAGTTGGGATATTGATGTACGCCATGGTCTATACCAGACCGGATATTGCTCATGCTGTTGGAGTGGTTATTCAGTTTCTTGACAACCCATGAAAAGAACATTGGGAAGTTGTAAAGTGGATACTCAGATATCTGAATGGCACATCAAAGGCGTGTCTATGCTTTGGAGGGTCAGACGCAATCATAGAAGGTTTCATAAACGCTGATATGGCAGGTGATCCTGATCACAAACAATCCACTTCTGAGTTTGTATTTACATTTTCAGTAGGAGCTATATTATGGCAATAAAAGTTGCAAAAGTACGTTACACTATCAACAACTTAAGTCGAGTACATTGCTGCTACAAAAGTAGGAAAATAAATGATTTGGCTGAAGAGATTTTTTCAAGAGATTGGTCTGCACTAAGAGAAGTATGTAATCTATTGTAATAGTCAAAGTGCAATAGACTTGAGCAAAAACTCTATGTATCACTCACGAACAAAGTATATCGATGTACAGTACCTTGGATAAGAGAGCATATGGAAGATAAGTCCCTTTCGCTGAAAAAGATCTTTACTGACAGAAACCCTTCAGATATAATAACTAAAGTGATTCCCCATAACAAGTTCGAAATGTGCAAAGAATTTGTCAACATGAGCTATATTTAGAAGAATGACAGCAATCTCCTCACAAAAGCATGGGTCTAGAAGGAAAAATTTATGGGGTCCAACCCCATGAATGACCTATGTGTGGAAAGCCCCATGAATGGGCTATGTGTGAAAAAGGCCAAACTTTTCACACATGGCTACAACAGCTCCCTTCTTTTAACAATTGAATGTAAAAGAAAAAAATATTGAAGTGGAGTACTGCACGTAAATGGCTACAGTTGACAAAAGACAACCATCTTCTCCTATAAATAGAAGAGGCGATGGCCTCTTCTATGCACAACAATCAAGCGAAGAAACTTGGGAGCAACTTGAGAGTTGCTTGAGAGAGAAAAAAAAAATAGAGAGAAGAGAGAGTCTCGAGGAAAATATTCTCTCGTGTAGAGGGTGAGTTTATTGTAATGAGGGTGATACAAAAGTGAGAATTTTTTTATAAGTAATATCTCGAGTTGGTAAAAATATTCGAGAATTCTGTGTAAAATTCCTTCCTATAGCAGTGATATTTTTTTTATTCTTGATCCGTGATTTTTCCTTATTTGTATTTTTCACGTAAATTTTGGTATTTATAACTTGTTTTACTGTAAGTGTATTTATATTCTATGAGTATGCTGGATTCAACAAATGGAATCAAAGCACCAAGAGTCCTAACAATAAAGAGATTTGTTCCTTTCCTATCTCTGTTCTCCTTGAGATCAAGTTAACACATATTTGATCTTGATTCTCTCTCTCTGTATTCTCTTCTAGCAACAATCGCTCGAATCTGCATTTCTCTAATTTACATTGCCTCTTACTCCCCTATGTGTGTCAATCAGAGAAGGAAAAAAAAAAGGTGTTATCAGCGAGAAGGATCATTGTTGGCAGAAGTCTCTCTTTTTCTCCGAATCTGCCGTCGGACTTCTCTCCATTTTGTTATCATCCGGAATGATCATCGGCTCTTCTATTGTTGTGAACCGTTTCAACCGAAATGTTCGCTGGTTAAACCATCCTCGTCCAGAAGCTCTCTCTCTCTCTCTCTCTCCCCCCCCCCCCCCTCTCTCCTCCGCCCCCCCTCCCCTCCCTCCCCAGGCACAGCTTTAGTTCTTTCAATTTTTCTAGTATCTATGACCAACAGGAATCCCATAGGAAAACTTTGTAGTCTTCTTCTCTTATCTGCTAATGGCTGTCGTCTATTGTTATGGGGACCATTGGCTAGAACTATTTAACCCTCTCTTCCCTAAGCTCAAACGCTCCAGAATTCCAATCCTTGTGTTGTTGGCAACTGCAGTGCTAGGCTAGGCGCAAGCATGAACAACATAACCTTTCGGGCGCCGACCACGGACATATTGCAGGCTTATTATAATGAAATCGGAGGGATTTACACGACAGATTTTCCTGTTACGCCATCTCTTTATTACAATTTCACAGGTGACAATTTTACGGAAAATATTGTGACTTATACGTTGGGTGCACGTGTGAACGTGCTAGAGTACAACACCACCGTGGAGTTAGTGTTACAGGGGACTAATGTGCTAAGTGGACCAGAAAATCACCCTATGCATTTGCATGGTTTTGGTTTTTATTTTGTTGGATCGGGTTGTGGGAATTTCGACAATGAAACGGATCCTCAAAGGTATAATTTGGTAGAGCCCCGGAGGTGAACACTGTTGGGGTACCCAAAAGCTGATGGGCAGCCGTGTGATTAATTCAGAGCTGACAAACCCGGTAAGTTTGGCGACTTTACGTTGTTGCTTATTTTATATGCTTTCTCAGCCCTTCGGAAGCATTACCTCTTCATTTTCGTTACTTCATCTTTTTAATACAAACTAAAGGAATTGACTCTAAAAGGGAAAAAGCTATTAATAGAAAGTCAGATTTTGATTTTATTTTTTTGCTTTTTGCAGGGGTGTGGTTCATGTGCTGTCATCTAGAAAGGCATGCTAGCTGGACATGGTGTTCACCGTCAAGAATGGTACAACCAGAGAAACGAGTATGCGGCGGGATCCTCGTCACCTGAATCACTGCTAATATTCCAAGCAGCAAATTTGGTCTATGCTCTCCAAGTTACGGCTTATTCAGCTGCCCTTCAAAGTGGCTGCAGGCCGGGAGGACTTATCCAGCCTTCTTTGTATCAATAAGTTTAATGGGAATTGTGACCCATTAATTCAAAAATGTTCCTCTGTTGAGATATTATTGTGTGGGTCAAGTTTGGAATGAAGTACTATATTTAAAGTTTATATATATTTTTTAATTCAATGTTTTCGGGGAAAAAAACAATATTGATACTCTATTTTTTCCTCAAATAAGAGTTAGTGTTGTCCGTTCAGATGATCTATTTCTTGGCGAGCAAAATCTTGAGTGGATTTCCTTGGTGGAAGATACATTCGAATTATGTAAGCTAGAGGTGGATTGAGGAGTTGGAAGATACATTTGAATAATGTACGGTGTACATGTTGATTGATGGGACTTTTCTGCACGAGGTACACACTAATTTAACTTTACCCCCACAACGCAGTCCGGCTAAGAGGAACTCTTGCCTGAAATCATGTCCAAGGCCATGCGACGTCGGTCAGTGCAAGGAAATCTTGTCTGAAATATCCAGCTCGTTGACATGGCCCGCCTGCCTGCCTGCCTGCCTTTCTCACCATTTACAGTGGCGAGTACTTTGAATATCTGGTCGGCTCGGAACTTGTTTCGGATCATAAGATAAGCTTGGAAGAAGCGTATCAGCTATGCAGTTGATTTGCTCCATCCTTCCCTCCAAAGTTTCTCACATCACAGACAATCTGTAAGTGGATTTCGCCGGAAGCAACTGAAATTCCAAATCAATGATGATGGAGGCTATTGCTGATTAGGAGGTTTTTTTTTTTTTTTTTTTTGAGATTTGAGTTTTATTAGAGATTTTTTTATTATTTTTTAGATAAGTTTAGATTTATTTAAGATAAAAAATTCAAATATCAATAATTATTTTAAGATGATAACCTTATTTTTTAAAAAGTATTTATCTTTTAAGAGTGCCCCATCCTGTAAATACTATTTTCCATTAGAATAAAAGAAAAAAACTTCCAAAAATTTAAAACTCAACAAAAATTTTTCAACAAGAAGTCAACAAGTTCTTCAACTAAATCGTACTTAAGAAGGGACTCGACAAAATTTAGCTTAGTGAGCATGAGGATTTGCGATATACAAACCCTAAAGGTCAAACGGTATGAGTAAGAATTGAGTTTATAATTGAATTCTTATTAGAGTTTAGATAGAATTTTCTAAAATTAATTGTATAAGTATTCTTAATTTTTATTGATAAATTTCAATTCAGTTTTTTTTTACAATTATTCTAATTGAACTTAAATCATTCTGTTTAGATAGATTTGTTTGACCATTACTTGTACACTTAATAAATTATAAATTATATTTTAGTATTAAAGGGTCAAGCCTAATTATGAGTAGTGCAAATAAATCCAGTAATAAAGTAATCAGAAACACGTTGAATCTATAATAAATTCAATAACCAACAATAACATCAAGAAATGCACTTTACCAAAGTTAAGAACCATAGATGGCAAGTTCTCCTAACCAAAGGGAGGTATGATTCAGAAGAAATTTTTTTTAGATTTAAATTTTATTAGAGATTTTTTATTATTTTCTAAATTAATCTCAGATTTATTTAGAATATAAAATCTAAATTTTCATGATTATTTTAAGAAAATAATCTTATCTTTTAAAGAATTTCTATCATCTGCGGGTCCTCCATCTTTTAGCACACTTCTATAAAAATGGGACTATTTTTCATTAGAAGATAAGGAAAAAGATTTTCAAAAGTTCACGACTTAACTAAAACTTTCTAATAAAAAGCTAATAAACTCTTCAAGCAAATTACACTTGAGAAGAGAATCGACAAAATTCAGTCAAATAAGTATAAAGATTTATAATATACAAATTTTAAAAAATAAATGGTCTGAGGTAAAATCAAATTTATAATTAAGTACTTATTAGGACTTAAATAGGATTCTTTAAAATCAATTCTATAAATATATTTAATTTTTTATTAATAAATTTTAATTTAAGTCCTTTTTGCAATGGTACTGATTAATACTAAGTTGAATTTATTTAATCATTATTAGTACCCTCAAAAAATTATAATCAATTGGCCTAGACTGTGCAACTGCAGATGATCTGACTTTACATCAAAATCCCACGTGGGATGTACATTACAATCCTTGACATGGTTGATCTCTTGGGTAACGGAGCCTCCTAAGGGTTTGAACATCATCGTTTTTCGGTGCACGATCGATTTTTGCTCGTGCGTTTACTGTACAAAGTGTTGTTTCTTAAAGGTTTTGGTTCAGCTCTGATATAGGTGTTATTGGGGTCCTTTGGGGTTCAGTGTGTTAATATTCATTTTCTTCCATACTTCTTGTGCTACGGTCATTTCTCATTTCTAGGTCTTGTGTTGTAAATTGGATCTTGGGATCCCTTCATTTGAAAGTTGTGTCTCGTTTTCAAAAAAAAAAAAAAAATGATAGACTAAAATTAAGTATTTCTTTTTTATCTACAAGATGTTTTAACAGGAGTGGGTTTCTTGCATTGCCATCTTGACCGCAGCATGACGTGGGGGATGAGCAATGTTCATCGTCAAGAATGGGAGGTGCCATAATCAAAACCTTCAATCGCCAACCCTCCGTTAAGCCACCTGCTAAAGCTACGAAAGCTCCTCGTTGGTCATCACTAGCTGGGATATAATTCCTATAATCAATGAAACTACATTTAGTTGAACATCATTAATTATATTTTTTTTCTTTCAATTTTAGAAAAATTAATGTATATGTGTGCTTTTATTTGAGTCGTCTGAGACATTTTTCTTGTCGTGGAGGCCTTCATAGCTTATAATGGATATTAGTCACGAGGGAATTTGTAAATAATTTATGGCAAGTTAGTGACAGTTCAGATATGGAAAAAAAATCTCTTCTTGAATATTAAGTTACCAATGAATTAGTGACACAACATTTCTTTCACTTTTTGATATCAGTACCGTTACTTAGATTTTATTTAGTTTCAGTACAGTTCAATGTGATTGTTGTAACTTTTTTAATCATATTAGAGTGTTTAAGTAAACTAATAAAATTTTTACAAAATCATACAAAAAGATTCTTTTAGTATATAACTAATACAAAAAAATCAAATTATTTTAAAATTATATAATGTTAATAATTTCCTACATTTAAATATTTAATTTCAAAACTTTCATTAATAAACATTTATAACTTTATATTTTCAATATCATAATGTATTAGAAATAAATTAAAAACTGTATGAAAATAAATAAAAAAAGTCAATTTTTAATCAAATTTAAAATGAATTTTTTAATCAATTTAATTTAAACCTACTATCATTATAGGGTTTAATTAACTTACATATAATATAAATATTTTAATTAATAGCTTATAATCTAATTATTTGGAAGTTTAATAATTTCATATATAATATAAATAATTTAATAAATTATTGTGTATAATATATTGATACATTATTGTTTAAATTTTAATTTTATTTTCCCTTAAATATGTATTCATTATTGTATACTTATTTTTCTATTGACAGTTGAGATATAAAATTTAATAATTTCTTTTTAAAAATTTAAGTATCAATTATATGTATTTATTTGGCAATAGTAATTATTTTTTTGAACTTAAGATTTTTGATGAAAAAAAAGTCTAATACTTAATTTAAATTTCGTTACATGTATTTTTCTTCATTTAATTTTTTCCTAGAACTACTTTTTAAATTTGTTAAATGAAATATTTTATTTATTTACAATGAAAAATGTCTTTAAGAAGTTCTTTTTTTTTTTTAAGTTAGAGCTTCTTATGTGCTAGGTAATTTATGAAATTTAAATTAAGTAATGAATAAGTAAGTGACCACATTGTAACATAAATTTGATGATAAAAAAATAAAAAATGATAACCTTATTTTCTAATAGATGTACAAAAATTAAAAAATTAGTTGTAAGAATATAAAATATATATTAGAATCTTTTTACACTTTGATTCATAATATTTTCACTTAGTCCTTAATTTTTTAATTTCTTTAATTTACTATTAAATTATAGTTAATACTTAGGAATCTAATCATTTTGTATTTAATATAAATAATTTAAAAAATTATTATATATAATATTTTGTTCGGTACAATTTTTTATTGGTTTTGAATTTATAAAATTAAATTTGTATCAAAATATTTAGTACGGCATTACTTAATACCAAAATTTATAAATTTTTTAAAAAAACCTTAACTTTCAATAAAATTTGATTCGATACAATATAATTCAATCCAATATAATTTTAAATATTATTAACACCCCTCAATCTAACACCTGATTAGAGCTTTACAAGTGGGCTATGTCTTGGGCTGAACAATTCAGCCGAATACAGCTATTATAAGGTTGGAATCAAATGGGCCATGAAACTTGAACCAACACAATGCCAGCTTAAACATGTCAAGCTGCAGTACCCAGTTAGCCAATCTGATTGGGCCAAATTGGGCCATATAGTTTTGGATTCTTCAAAGGGCTAGACTTATTGTCCTTTTTTAAAGTGATTTGGGCTTAATTTATGTCCATCACACGTTGGAGAAATTAAACCAAATAAAAAAATTAAATTTCTTTATTTTTTTATCCCAATTACATTGATCAAATCAATTTAAATCTGAATAACTTATAGCACAAGTTATAATAACTGTTGAACTATGAACTATGATTAAATGTTAGTTCAAAGTTCATTGCGAATCCATGGTTTTGGTCTTGTGCCTTGCATGTTCTTCCTCTTCTGCATGGCCCAAGGTGAAAGATCATTTCTTGGACTTCTTCGTGGGCATTTTAATTTTATTATGTTCTTCATATATATAGATTGATGCAATATAAACACACACATTTATA